CCCAGGCTTTGTGCGCAGGAGTTGGAAGGCAACAGACTTTTTGTCTGCCCCTGTGTAGTGACAGTCCTGGTCCTTGCTGCTGTCTTGGCCCAGGGCTTTGAGCAGCAGCCCTGTTCCCACACAAGTCGTGTGACAGCCAAGGCTTGGCACCCCCTCACAGCCCCGACAGTGAGAGGCCGAGAAGCATTCTTGACATTCTTTCCAGAGAAAAGGGGTGAAATGTCTGAATTTGGGGGTCACCACATTATACAAATTGCAATCTAATCATTTTTACAAGAACACACTTGTAGTAAGAAAAGGCACCCAGGAGGAGGGGCTGTTTTGTCCCCCTCCCTCCCAGAGTTTGGGGCTATTGTTGGGCCCATCTCACTCCCTCCACCAGAGTAGTTGAGCTAGAGTTTTCTAGTTAAATTGGTCCTGGGGCGGAGGGCCACGAAGGGCCCACAGTGCCATTTCTGTTTGTTTTCCCAAATCAAAGCCCCAGCAGGGCTCCTATGGCACCGCTGGGCCGCTATTTGAAGAGACGGGCCATTTCCCAGAGCCTGGGGTGTCAGTTTATGCTCTGAACTTAACCTCGCAGGCACTGCACAACAGAGCCTCAAGGATCCCGGGCCCAGAGTGAAAGAAATTGTATCTTTTTATTAGCCCATTTAAAGTGTGTGTGGTCATTTCAGATCATCAGAGAACAGGGCAGCAGAAAGAAGCTCCTTAGCCTCTGGACAGGCTGGGCTGGCAGACGGGGAGCTTTCAGTACTTGCCTCAGCCCCGAGAGGCTGGTGCCCACTCCATTCCAGCCCTTGGGTTGCCCCCCCAGAGGGTAGGGTTCTGTGTTTTTTATTGCAGACATAGTGGCATGGCACTTTCCAGTGAAGGCTCTGATGCCAGGGCAGGGGTCGAGGTTGTTAACTTGGTCTAGATGTTGCCCTTATGCTGCTGATCCTGCCCAGCCCATGGGTGCCCAGCTCTCCTTTCCTCTGAACCTGGGACCAGGAGTGGGCAGGTAGAGCCATGCTGAGCTTCCCACCCCCAAAACTCCACTGCCTTTTATCTTCTATTTCAAACAGACAAACATGAAATTACTTCTATAGATTAAAGGGAAGAGCTCCTCCATCATTCCTGAAGGCCTAATGGAAGGGGCAGGGCCCCCAAATCCAGGAGGGACAACTGCACGCATACGCACGTACGTGTGAGAGATCAATTCCTCCCTGCCGGGCTCTGGCCTGCCCAGGGTGGGAGAATCATGGCTGGTGGCCCATCGGGAAGGCAGGCCTTCCTGGGAGCCAGGTCAGTGATCTCCCGGAGACGCTGATCTGGGGAGGTGGCTTTCTGCCTGATCCCACTCAGGCCCCCCCCAGCACACAGTGCCATATCATCTTACTTCCCAAGCACACTTGGGAAGGAGGCTGGGAGCAGAGGTCTGATATAGGGCCTAACCCCTCACTGGACAGCAACAGTGCTCCCTATTGGGAGCCACCACACTGCCCAGGGCTTGAGGGGAAAGGCAGGACAGGCAGAAAGGTACTCCCAGCTGCCTCTGCTTTTCCTTCAGCATTCAGCCTTCAGCAAGAGGACGGCTCCACTGGGGAGAAGGGAGGTTGAGGGTCAGCAGCTGCAGGACGTAGAAGGGCTGGAACTGTGGTCTGTGTTCACATGGGCTGGTAACCTCTCCTGCTCAAGCCCTTTGGTGAACACTGCTTGGCCCAAAGCTGGGCTGGTGAGACCACAAAGTCCTCCCCACCCCATGCCAGGGCTGCTTACCTGGGTGTCTGGGTAAAGGGTCCATGGCCTTGCCTCTCCTGTTCTTCCATTGAAAGGCCAGCATCTCTTGGGTGAAGCTGAGGGGTCAGGCTTGGAGGGTACCCCTCTTCTCCTTTATTTCCCCCCAGTCACTGTGCTGAAGCTCACTTCTTCTACCCATCCCCTAGCCACAGGGATTAGCTGGTGCACTTGATGTTGAGGGGTAGTTGCTAGGGCCAGAAGGCCCCCCTAAGTGGTTGCTAGGGGTCTGGCATCAGGGCGAAGGGTCTGTCCACTGCCGCGGTCACGGAGGGAATTACACAGTCACAAAGAAATTGTTCTTCTCAGTAATCTGCTCTCGGCCACCGGGAGGGGGAGGGTTGGGGGAGCAAGCTGGAGCCCCGCAGGCTGGGGGCTGTGATCACAGAGGCGTGCTAGCCCCGGGCTGGGGGCCAGCCTGGCCAGGAACACCAGGGACCAGCCCGCTAAGCTGCTTTCTCAGCGATTTCTCTCCCAGACACAAAGGTGTTTACTTGTTTTAACATCTCCTGGGACTCCCCTTCTCCCTTTGTGTGGTCTTTATCCCCAATGAGGTTTGAGCCCCAGATTACAGGCGGGAATTAAGGCATTGGACTCAGGCAGCTCAGAACTGCATGACCTGCAGGATCAAGAAGTATAAAGTAACCAAGAGTATGTGGGGGGGTGGGGGGCGCCGACCCTTCGGCTAGGCCCATTCATGTCCTGCAGAGGAGTGGCCCGGCGGCAGGGCCTGCAGGTGTGAAGGAGGGGCTGCAGGCAGCTGAGGCCTTCAGCTGGGGAAGGGGCAGGGACAGGGATGGGGTGATGGGTGGGAGTCAGGGCAGCCTTCTGTGGCCCCTTCGTAAGGGAGTCTAATTCTAGATGAGGAAAGAACTGCATTGCCCTAAGGACTGAGGCCATTTGAAAGTTAAAGAATGTGTGTGGGCTTCTCATCCTCTGGCCTTCTCTCTCCCCAGTGGGCAGCTGATGACACACCTGGGCAGTGACTTCCCCCCAGGAGCTGGGGTACTGGATGTCATGTATGAGACCCCTTCCACACTTCTATCCTGTGGCTATGACACCTACGTTCGCTACTGGGACCTCCGCACCAGTGTCCGGTGAGGGTGCTGGGCGGGAGGATGAATGGTGGGCCCACGGGAGGGGGCACAGGGACTCCATGTCAGGGGCCAGTGGGGAACAGTCTGCAAGGGCAGATCAAGCTTAGCCACCCCACCCTGGCTGCCCTGGTCCCATGGCCCAGGAGAGCACAACAACCAGGCCCTGATAAGGGCCTCAGGAGTGGCCAGGGTGCTGTCCCTCTGCTTTCTGTCCCAGCCTTTCTTACCTCTCTGCCTCATAAGTCCTGGCATATAGCTGACCATGTGGAGGACAAGTGAGGGCATTAATCCGCCCCGGGGGCCTGGTGAGAAAGAGACCTTTACCAAAACTTGCTATTTTTTAAAGAATTTAGTGATTTGGCTTCTCTCTCCCTGCCAGAATGGCTTTCCCTGGTGGGAAAGCTGGGGTGGCTTGGGAGAGCCCCTCTGAGCCTCCCCAGCATGTCCTCTTCCTGAACAGGAAGTGTGTCATGGAATGGGAGGAGCCCCACGACAGCACCCTGTACTGCCTGCAGACAGACGGCAACCACCTGCTGGCCACTGGTTCCTCCTATTATGGTGTAGTACGACTGTGGGACCGGCGCCAAAGGGCCTGCCTACACGTAAGTGTCCCGCCCACCCCACACCCTCAGGGTGTCAGGACTCATTACTATGTGTGCACGTGCCAGTGCCAGGAGAGGATGGGAGGAAGCCTCCTGCGGCACCTGCCCCACTGCACGGAGCCTGGGAATCCTGGGTTAGGGCGCTCCCACCTTCCACGTGGGATGTCCTGGCCATTCCCGTGCCTCCCCCTGCAGGCCTTTCCGCTCACATCAGCGCCCCTCAGCAGCCCTGTGTACTGCCTGCGCTTCACCACCAAACATCTCTATGCTGCGCTGTCTTACAACCTCCATGTCCTGGACTTTCAAAACCTATGACACAGCCGCCTCAGCCTGAGGGCCAGGGAAGCCAGCTACTCAGGGACCTCTCCTGTGGAGGGTGCAGTGACGCCTCCTCCTGTGCTGGGCCTGTACTCCTAGACCTGTGCGCACAGTGCTCCGCACCGCCCAAGGTGCAGTCCCTCCTAGGAACCAGTTGGAGAGAAGGGACTTGCTGCTTTGGAGAGGGTGATGGAACCAGGCCTGGAAACGCCCACCTGCACCTTCCCAGAGCTATGACTGCTCAGAGTGAGGCGCTTCAGACTTTTCAGTTGGTCTTTTGGTCCCTTCCCTGGAAGGAAGGGTGAGGCTGCTAGTATCCCTGCTGGCACTGGCCCCCACCTCCTCAATCATTCCCTGGGGGATTCCAAGACCAACCTTTGGGGGGCTGGAGACTCACTCTTGGGGCACTGTGGCCTGATCTCACTTTGTAACCAAGAAAGGACAAGGGGAACCCAGCACGACCTCAGGCCAGCTGTTGAGACATGCTACAATATTCATTTTTGTAAAAATAAAGTGTGACTGTTCACAGCTCTGGTTTCTCCCTGGCTGGGGAGTCCTTGCGGGGAGAGGGGAGGCAGGGAGAGGGAGCAACAGATTTCAGACTTGGGGATGGGCATGCTGGAGAAAGGAGAAGACCAGACTCATGGCCCAATGACTCCGTGTCCTCAAGAACAAAGAGTTTTTTTCCAGAAAACCTTGCATGCCCACCCACTCCTTTGGCCCTGATGGTAGGGTGGACAGCATCTCTAGGGACCATAGAAGGGCTTCAGGCTGCGTGTAGGGGTGAAGGGGGCACTATAAATTGCTGTCCATCTTTGGTGACCTTGCTCCCCCCTATTCCACTGTGCACTTACAACCCTTATTCTGGCTTTACATGTATAATGTCTTAATATCCTGGGCTATTTCCAAGGTTTCTGCATTTTTAAAAACTTGTCCTTTGCCCACCTTTATCTTAGGGAGTGCCTCTGGGCCACTTCAGCAAACTAAGCTAGCACAGGGTCCCTTCCAGCCTAGTCCTCCTGAGTTTATGCAGACAGGCTCAAGCAGCAGCCTGGCCTTGCCCTACCAGGGTCAGAGTTCCTCCAACCCCTTCTCCATCTCAGGCCCATGCCTCCCTTTATGTGGAAGGCTTTATGTTGAAGATCCCTGGGATAGAGAAGGGAATGTCACCGGTGTCCTTCCTGGGACAGGCATATAGAGAGGTGGATAAGAGGGCAAGCCACCCACAGTGACTCAGAATGACTTTACTCAGGAAGTAAGACCAAGGTGAGATGGGGGGACTAGGAATGTCCCGAAACCCAGTTCTTACAGAGTCTGGATAGCTGCTGGGAGAGAAGAGGCTGCCCTGTGCCAGAAAGGCCCATGCTTCAAAGTCTCACAGGCTGAAGGAAAAGCCTCACCCACCCTTCACACTGGAAGTGCAGGCTCAGGGGTCCACTACTGGGTCTTGCAGTCCCCATCACTGCTGTGGGCTGTCTTTACCTTCTTCAGCTCCTTCTGCAGCTCTGACTCAGCCACCAGGACCTCCTTTGGCTTCTGGTACTGTGAATGGGACCAGTTGGAAGACATTATTCAGTCACATACCCTCCTCATTGCACACAAACAGATACCCTTTCTGATTCCCTTTATTTGAAGATGAGGAAATTGAGGCATATAGGGTTGAATGATTTGTTCAAGATCACATGGCTGGGAAGGAACAGGCCTTGGGCTAGAATCCCAGTGCTGTGATTTCCACCCTTCCCCATCATTCTCTATTCTCTTCCAGCTGTGATTTATAAGCTCAGGCTCCTCCCTGCACCCCCACCCTGCTCTCCCCATGCTGAATAGAGATGCCTGTTTGCTAGCAAGCACACCCTAGGGGCTGCGGCTGAAACTGTGGACTCCTAAGGGATGGGAAGTGGGCAGGGACAGAGGGTGCCTCTCCCTGACACAGTGGCCAAGAAGTCTGGGTGAATCTTACCGAGATGATCAAGGTGCAGTTGGCGTGAGCAAAGCTCAGCAATGAGTCATCCAGAGGTAGCTGGTATCTGTCTAAGTCAGGAATGGAGAACTTCTTGTAGTACCTGCGGGGACATAGAGAGGCCTGGGGATACCAGCAAGGTAACCCCAATAATGGGGCATCAGGCCCTCTGCCACCAAGCTCCTACACAATTCTCCCATACCTTCCCACAGAGCCAAAGAGGAAGAAGGGAAGCCAGTTAGAACCCCAGGATTTTAGAGCTTAGTGGTCCTGGAAATAAAAGAACGAAAGGCCTACGGCAGTTTAGCACAAAGGCAGGATCAATCATGATTCTTTGATTGGACCATGGGTTAAAGTGACTCATACTTCAGGCTTGGGACTCCCAAAGTCACATAGAAGAAGCTTCCTGGAGTATACAAATAGCTCAGGCAAGCCAGGCCTTCTCTGTACCCCAAGAAAATGGGACATGTGTACTAATAAGGGATAGAAGGACATCTGGGGTGCCCCAAAGCTGTGGACTAATAGTTGCCATTTACATGGGACTTCCAATGAAGGCCTCAGCTACCTTTTTCCTCTTTTGGAACTAGTTATTTTGGGGTCTTTCAAGATCCTGTTAGCTTGACTCTACTTACAGTATATGCCAGAGAGGGAACTACATCTACCCTGAGAGGACAGACCATGTGACTCATCACAGAAGCAGGATCTCTGGGGCTCTGGCCTGCTTTGCAGGCCCTGAGACCCCACTCCTCCATTCCCTATTATCTGCAGGTGCCAGTCCAAAGATTAATGATCTGTTTTTGTAAAAAACCAACCAACAAACAAAAACCCAGACAGCATAATGTGTGTAATTGGACTTTGTTTTGCAGGAAACTTGATGTCCTTCACCAAAGAGGAAACTTGGGCTCAGAGAGGTGAAATGTCTTGCCTGGTTTCACAGCTAGTTGTCAGTGGAGTCAGGGTTACCGTTCCTTGGTCCTGGTCTGGTGCTTATTACACCAGAGTGCTTAGAGTGGACTCCTCACCTCTAGCAACAGGCCCATTTTCCTTGGTGGCAATGTAGCCTGCTGGGACTCTGGCCAGTGGCTGCCAGACCTGTCACCTGGGCATGGCGTCACTGCTGTGCACGGGTATGTGAGCTGGGAAGAAAGGGTGAGGCAGGTACAAACAAACTCAAGGGGCCTGGAGAGGATGGATACTTTTAATACTTCAAAGGGGTCTGGTCCTTGCGGTGACAGCTACCCACGTACACTTGAGAAGCCCTGCTGCCGTGGGACTCAGAGAGTGGACATCAAGGCAGCAGCTCTACCTCACTCTCCCTGCCCAAAGCCTTCAGTTTGGCAGAGGCTCTCAGGGCTCCTCTCCCCCTCAAGGTGCTGGGGTCCATGGCTGGGAAAGAATGTTTACTTAAAGGTTGACAGTTCAAAAGGAGCAGGGGCTGGGAGATCCTAATGGCACCACAAGTTCGCTTGATTTTCCAAAGCTCTGCCCCAGGGAAAGGCGATCCATCTGCCTGCAAACCAGGGTGGAATGCTGGCCTCATCCTCCTCCTAACTAGCCCAGGCTGAGGGCTCTTCCTGGGGCCTTTGGTCTGGCCAGCAAAGGTGGCAGACACTGATAATAGGGGGGAGTCAAAGGTTAAACAGCAGAGCTTAGATGAACACAAAGGCTTGTTAGGAAGTGTTAACATCTCTGCAAATCTATACAAGCAGCAGAACTGGGAAAGCAGCAGCCCAGCTAAACTGAAAGGGACTGTGTAAGGCCTTGCTGCATACAGCATGGGGACATCCTTTCTGTCTACCTGGCTGTGTGTTGGGGAAGGGGTGGGGGAGACAGGGACACACCTGTACATCCTCAAAGAGGCACTGTCAAGCCGCATTCTCCAGGCTGGGGCAGTGAGGTTGGAAAAAGAATCCTAGGGCTTGGCCTCAACAGCAATGACAAGATCAAAGGGAACTTGAGGTGAGTGGCTTGCCCCCCATTCCCTTTACTGTTCCCACCACCTTTCACCAGGATGCTGGGGAATGAGGGCACAGTGGGTCTGGAGGCTCAGCTTGTTTTGAGTCTATTCTAATGGACTGAGTTTATTGGTTGAAGTTAAAAAAGCTTTCTCAGAGGCTCCAGACAGGCAGTGTTCAAGGCAGTATGGGGCTTTCTGCTTTCTCCCCTTAGGGAACAGCCCACCCCCTTCTCTTCCCCATTCCCTGGCCTTGGGGTTTGCCCTGAGAGGAATTGCACTTAACTTTCTCACCAGTACCTGGACTAGAGAGGTGACCCACTGTGCTTCTGGGAAAGTCAGAATGCTCAGCCTCAGGCAGCCCTAGGGAGGCAGCAAATACTTCTTAGGCATCACTTGTGTGTGACCCAGGCCTTGAGCTATGGGCTGGGAATTTAAGGATGAAGAAGAAACAAGGGCATACCCTGCCTGAGGAGCACTTCTTGTGTTTCTGCTAAAAGTTCAACTCTTACAGGGGGTGGTTCCTGGGACTTTTGCTGACATGCAGCACTCTCCACACTCCCATCTCTCTCCACTGTTCTCAGGCTCAGCCAATGATAGGTGACATTTATTAATGCTTATTCTGTACCAGGCACTGTTCTATATATATTGAATCCTCAAAACAACCCTCTCAGGTTGGTTACTTCTATTAACCTCACAGAAGAGGAAACAGACACAGAAAAGTTAGGCACCTTGCCCAACTCTCTAAACAGGTGAGTGGAGATGCCCTTGTTACAAGTGGTAATTCCCCAAATCTCGTGACCCCTCCATTTTTCCACATTCTCTTCTCAAAGTAACAGACCACCTTCATCTGTCCAAGGATGAGGCAGATACAGGGGTAATCTCCCTTGGGATCCAGCCACACTGCAGGTGCTGTGGGCACTCTATCTAACACACAGTGCTTCTTTTCTGAATGTCAAAAGTGTTCAAAAGACGTATGTGGACGTAAATGCTTCTCAGAAGGACTTCTAGCCCTACTGGAGAAGGCCACTTAACTTCTGTTTCTTCCTCAAAATTTCTTCCTCAAATAAAGGAGCTGCCTGAGATGAACTTTAAGTCACTGTCAAAGGTCCTGGAAAGGCCAACTCTGTACCTTTTCCCAACCTGTGCCAAAAGTGCAGCTCCTTCATTTTGGCTATTTCAAAAATGACCTACTGTACACCCTATTTCTCTCTATTTTTTTCTTTCCCAATTCACAGCCCTTTCCCAACCCATTCTCCCTTGCAGTGGACTAAGAAAGACACAAGAGGCCAGGCCCTGAGAGAGAGAGACCTCGCTGTTGTGGGGTCACATGGGCCATGCCCCACACCCCTCCAGAGGGCGCCATGCACACAGACTCGGCCAGAGTGGGCCAGAGAAGCCTCTGGCCAGTTGGCCTTTAGAAAATCAGTACACAAATCTTCCTTCTTTCTTAAACATCAAGGCTCCAGGCAAACTGGTCATCCCTGCCTACAGCAGCCCCCTTCTAGAGTCACGATGCAATTCATGTACTAAAAACTCTTAGAAATCCTACCACAGAAAAATTTGTTTAATCCAGAGTTACCTGAACTTAACCACAGAATCCTTTTCCTACCAATGCCTATTAACACCTCCCAGAGTATTAGTATCACCCATGTCAAATAAGCCAAGCTCTCTTCAGGTTCCACTTCCCAAAGAGTTGTTGAGGACTGCTTCAGGCTGGCCATGGTGCTGGGTGCCTGTACATACAATTCCATCAAACTGCCCAGACAATCCATGAGCTAGGTATGAGTGTTCTCCTGTGCTGGATGAGGAAACCTTGTCCCAAATAATAAAATTAATATGTGGCAGAGGCCAGATTTAAGCCATCATCTTCCCACTTTGGCACCCTGGCTCATTCCACTTAGAGCTGCCAGCTCCTTAGCTAAGGCTAGAAACCTTCTTTCTGCACAAATGCTCTTATCGGTAACACATGCGGTGCCACACCAGGATACTGGAAAAGCATTTCTCCCTTCTCTGATTCCTCACTAATAACTGAGGCCAAGTACATAATACACTGGAATCAATTCCTTCAAGAAAAATGGCTAACCTTGTTCTTCGGGGATAAGGCAGGTTGGACAAAGGAACTCTGGCTTTTACTAGTAACCAGTAATATTCCAGAACAGAAATTCTAGGTGAAGGAGTAAGTCAAATCAGAGAGAAATGCCACAGTGTGGTGGGTACTGCAAATGCCTGAGCATCAAGACTGTCATTAACTTTCCCTTTAGAAGTCAGTTCATCATGCTGAATAAATACATCAGGCTATAGATATATTTACAAACTCATTAACGTATCATACAAATAAAAATATGTACTCTGCCCACCACCAGACGGTGTAATGATCAGAAAACAAGATTTTCTAAATCTGAAAAAGTTAAACACTGTTCAAAGGAATAGCCCTTGGGTTCTGTTTAATTAGTGGTAGTAAAGCTATAGGACACATTACTACTCCAAACAGAAGAGATGAACATGCCGCTAGGCTTAGGAAAGAGCAGTCAGTTAAGAGTTCGGTAGCCTCTCTCCTCACCTCCCAGAACAGGGAACAGAGAAAGGCTGGGCTGAGCCAGGCTGGGACACTAGAACCGGAGGCTCAGCGTGGGTTCTGAAATGTGCACTCACACAGTCTTCTTCCCTCTGTGGGAATCCAACCCTCAGCCCTGCCACCTCCCAATGCACTACCCTGATCCTAGCTGGCATCACCTATCAGTTCAAAAATGGCTCCCCTCTGCCTTGGGCACTGGGGTGGGCCTCTAGCCATGGAGCTCCTGGCCAACAGCGCCACCTACGGCTGGATACGTGCAGGAGATGGGACCCAGAGGATCAGCCTGCAGATGAATTTTTTGGTGAGCTAGCTAGCCTCTCTTCTCTCACTCCCTGGTAATCACATTTCTGCCTGATATCTGTATTCTACAGTGACCTCTGGGGGACAAACGGGAGGCAGCAGCCAGCTCCACAAACTGCTGGGCTGCAGATTCAAGTGCTATCAGAAGCACTTTTGTTCTCAGTTTGGACCCAGGGCCTCTTACGCCAGGGAATGCTTGCTGAAGCATGGAGTTTGTTTTCCTAAAGGCAATTTCTGTGTTGTCTGAAATTGCTAAATTCCACTTTAGGCACTGACTCCTGTTAATGATGAGAACAATAACAGGAATAAACTGCCTTTTATCTGAGGGCTTCAAAGTGCTTTATAAACGCAAACCCTTATTATTATGACTTTATATTTATAGGCAAGGCCCACTGCAGGGGCCACTGGCTGCATGTACAGCAATATCCTGAAATTAATTCACTCATCTCCACCCCTTCCCCATCCCCTTAACCCTGCCAACGTTATAGAGTATGGGGGTCATAACAAGAGGGCAGACCCAGGGCTGTACCAGGGAAGCCTGAGAGCCACACTGCCTCCCTATGGCCCTCCTGGACCTCAGGCAGGTGGGAGAGGAGGCTGGCACCACACCACCTGAGAAGACGGACAAAGAGCTTGGTCCTTCTACTGCACATAAACCAGTGGACGGGCATCAGTGGCCTAAGCGTGGCCCCCATGAGGCATGCTGGGCAAAACCTTCCACGTCAGTGCCCCAACTCTGTTTCCCAGGAGTGGGTCCCTGCTGCCTTCCTACGGCCCTGGTCAAGACCAATTCATTACAGGGCTCATCTCTTCTCATATGAACAGTCAGAGCTCCAGAAACCCAAAAGGGATTGATGTATTTCCAAAATGGTCAGCCCAGAAGTACCCCTGGGTCACGTCTCCATTTTGGCTACCTTCTATCTTCTCAATCCCACATTTTGCCTCTCCACTAGCTGACAAGGAGAGGAGCACAGGGAAGCTGAAAACTCCTTTTGAAACATAATGCAAGAGAATTCCAAGAGATCAAAGCATCTGTCCACCTGTCCTTGGTGCAGGGCAGAATCAGGTCTCTTGCTCCCAGGCCAGTAAAGTCCTGTAACTGCCACCTCAGACAGGTATGCCTTCCAGGCCATGGCTCCCTGCCAGCTTGGACAGTGGTATCACCAGGCCAAGTTCACCGTGGACTGGGTCCAGGTGGGAGGTCAAGGTCACAATAACTTTAGAGCAGAATCACCTAAAAGCACAAGTTAAAGGCCAAGTGATTGCTTCATTCCCTCATTCATTCAACAAATATTTATTGAGCTCCAGTATGTGCCAGGTACTGGATGAGGCATTTGTTCAGTAGCTTTCAGCACCTGCTGGGGCTTTAGTACAGCCCTTCTCTCTCCCTCGGAGCTGCAAGAGGAGGCTTCTTAGCCATTCAGTGTAGGGAACAGATTGAGCCCTAACCCCAAGTCAAATATCACCCCCAACTTGCTCATAGGCAGGTGCCCACCATGCCACTTACTTTTTGTTGGTTGTTCTGACAGTGATGCAGCGTTCCTTCTGGTCCACACAGACACTGTAAACATCCTTAGGGTACGGGAGGTTTCGAATCCGCCATTGGAAACTCATCTTGGTGTCCTTGCGCATGAAGATGGGCTGCAGAAGGCAAATCCAATTTCAGGACTGTTCTTGAAGAGGGGTAGGGCAGGGATAGCAACCTGCTCCACAAAGCTCTACTTGGGGGCACGCTGGGAGACCCTCAGCTCTTCTCCATAGTTCCCCTTTGATGCTGCCATCCTATAACATTCCAGGCCCGAAGCCGTCGCCAAACCAAGCTAAAACCCTCTGGGTATTCATTCAAGCAAATGTTTCTAGGGTACTGTGTCCAGCTGGGCACACTGGAGATGATGATATGAACATGACATGGTGCCCGCCCTAAAGGGCCAGTAGCCCGCTCCCACCCCAGCCTCTCCAGGACACCGGACAGATAGACATACATTGGCACTGCTCTCCTGGATGAGTTCAAGCCCCAGGCTCCCTCCTCCTGGGAATGTTGGCTCTCCCACCTCAGTCTGCCACTGGCTCAAGGCTCCTAAGGCACTTTTCACACGCCACTTTCTCACTGGGGAGAGAAGGAGGCAACAGGGTAATGGGGAAGAAAGGGACTCTGCTCTTTTCTACTGAAATATCAACAGCACATTAGGTAACTGGAACAGGATAAGAGGTGGTAGCTACAGGCCTTTACACTGGCTTTGTCCATCTGAACAAGGACCTCACAACCTCTGAAATCTCAATATGGCATTTCAACATTAGATAACTTGTAAAGCTCGTATCATGGGTGCCCAGACAAAAGGAATTGGAACAAAGCTCTAAAAGGAGCCAAGAGGAGTTCAGAAACTCCAGATGTGACTTCACATAAGGGGAAGATGCGAGGATTAGGAAAAGGATAGCTACTGGTAATGGGAAATTTTGGATTCCAAAGTTTGAGTTGAGATGCACTTTTTCCCCTCTAAAAATGTGCAAAGAAAAAATGAAGAGGGTGAAAGCTGAGGCAGATTTGTCTCATGATTCCGAAAGTCCAAATAAAGAAATTCACTTGTTTCACATGTATTTGGCAGAAACAATAGCCCAAGTTGTATTTAAAGAAAATTTAGGCACACATCATATTTTTAAAGCATTATTTATAGAAGATCTAATGTGAATTTTGTGTGGAGTCATCCTTTTTTATAATGCAAGTAATCATCTCTATTGTACCTTGTTTTACAAGCCAGATGTTTGCCTAAGAATTTTTTTCCCCAAGTGAGGAACATATATTATGGGAATTTTAAGTGAAAAAACTAGTTCAATGGATATTACCTGAACCCACTCAGCCACATCATAATGATGCTGTCACACAGCTCATCACTGCAGGGGGACCTTCCTGAGCTGCAACCCCCTCAGTTCCTTTCCCTTCCTGCTGCACTGGGTATCCTCCAGCCTGGGCAGCCCAGGTGCTGCTAAAGGCCAGCAGCCTTCTTGAAGCAGTTGTAAGGAGTTGAACAACAAAAAGTGCCCGCAATTCTGTCATAGTCGTTCCCATTCGCTCCTTTGTCCGGGCTGAGGGGTGAACGCTGCAGTCTGATCTCAGGATGGGTTTCTTTGAGACCATGTGAGCAGCTATGCCAGACCCAAACACCCTCACTGCTCTAAGTAAGGCATGCAAGCTGAACACAAAAGTGTGCTGTAAAATTAGAACTTCCCCTTGAATATGTGCTTTTATAAGGTCTACTGAATTCTGCAGTGTGATTTTATTACATCTTAGGGCCAAAAATTCTCCCTAGAAATACATTTCCAAGTTTATAATGAAAATTAATAAGGAAGAGTAAAACTTGGAAATATGCTTTATAGGCAACTTTTTTTCCCCCACAAATTCTTCTACTCTCTTAAGTGAATGGTCTGTGACCAGAAGTATATCCAAATATATTCATGTAATACCTTGCTTAACTGGAAGCCAGCCTTCTGGCTATTTTACCTTTTTTTTTTTTTAACATCTTGGGATTAAATTCTTTGGCAGAAAGCAAAATAAAGTCTTCCTACTCATTCCCTTATAAGATACAACAAATGATTTTGGTGAAGTCCTTGCTATTTTTCCCATGTACACAGACTTGAATGCACATGTGCAAACACACAATTTGTCTTGTCTTTCTTGTCCTGTCTTTGTTCTGAACTCAAGGACAACTCCTGCGGCAACAGAAGACTGTTTTCCACCTGCTGTCACTCTGATTTGATTATATGTTAAACCCAAACTGGTGTGTGCAAGGCAGCTCCCTGGGATGCTGTCATACCTTCCCGGCTGAGCCAAGGCCAGTCCTTGGAAAGGAGACTTTCAATGACCCTGTAAAGAGTCTGATAGAGAATATATGGAGGCAGCGCCTGGGGGCTTTTTTCCTAAATCAGCAGGAAGCAGGCTGATGTCCCTGCTGAAAGGAGGCCCCATCCTTCAGGTGGGCTGGGAAGTGGAGGTCCTAAAGGCCTTTTTCCCCAAAGCTCCCAGCCCTGGCTCACTTCCAATGTGGATAATTACATTCCCCTTTCCTAAATACTCCCTGCAGCTTAAACTGGATGCAGGATTCTTCTTTTCTGCCCTAAAACACTGCAACATTGCTATGTGGCTATTAAACAGCTGCCATGTCCCATCCCTGAGGAGGCTGAAGGGAATCAAGTGGGTCATTTATAAAGCCGGTGAAGTACTTGGGGATGAAAGTGCTCAATATCCTCCCAATGCAGCCTGGGGTGGTTAGGCTGGCGGTCAAATACCAAAGCGGATGAAGCCAGTAATCCAAATGTAATCGCTGGGGGATGGCCTGCCCTTCAGCCTCCGCTCCCCTACCCCACACACGCTGTGTTCTTCTGGGGCTGGTTTGATGTTCCGATCATTGTTTGGGGGCCCTTCAGTATTTTCCTCTATGAATACATACAGCATTCATTGTGGGGGGTGGGAAGGCACAGCATTACAAGGCTAGGAAAAAACATGACCCTGCTATGCTTATTAACACCAACGGGAAGAACTCCATCCTAGACACATGAACTACTGGCAATTCCTCCTCTGTAAATTACTTTTGGGGTTTATCTAACAGGAAACCAGTTTGTCCAATTGTAAATTTGTATGATTAGCTGGATAAATGGAAACTATTCTCATTTATGGCCACAATAACTCTGTCCACATTTTACTTCATAGAATGCACACACACAAGTTAGATCAGGCCCTGGGATTATTTATACTTAAAAATTAATAACGGCATTTTGCAAGAGGGGTGGGGTGGGGGAGATGGTTGGAGATGGCTAAGAAAAAGATCAGCTGTTCAAAGAGCCTGGTGGTTCAAGTGGGGTGTTCTTGTCTGCCCATCTCTGTCCTGCTCCCACCAGCCCCTACTCAGATCATTCTGGGAAGAGAAGAATTTAGTACGAAGAAAAGAAAGCAGTTAAATATTCTCAACTCCCAACAGTATGTTGTTGTGGATTAAAGCACAGGCTTTTAATCAGACAGATCTTGGCCTAAATCTTAGCTCAGAAACTAACCAGCTACCTGATTCTATCTAAGTAAGGGGCTTAACCTCTTGGAGCTTCTGTTTTCTCTGACTGTAAAATGGGGACAACAGTACCTACCTCATCAGGCCGTTATGAGTACGATTCAATAAGATAATTCAAGTAAAGCACTTAGCACGGTATCCAATAAAAGTTACAGCATTAATGTCATTATTAGGTAAACTTTGGCCAATGTTCTCCTACAAACCTCCATTCTTGCTTTTAAAAAGGAGTTTGCAGGCCACTGTCTATTGCCTACCTGCCAAGAGAAGTGACAGGTTAATGTGGGATACTACAGATGAAGTAACCAGGACTTGTTTTTCAGTTTATTTTTATGTGTGGCCCCAAACAAAACTAAGGGGCCTGGGTTTTATTTGTTTGTTTTTATAGCCGCAGCAGCTATAGCTATTTTATTTGCTCTGTGTAGAGAGGAGAGATGGGGCTGGGAGTGGAGCTGCAGCTAGTTTCTGGCCTGAAGATGGTGTTGGTTAGCCCATGTGACGTCTGAAAAGCTTGCCCCTGTTAGGCATTACAAGGCTGTCATCCCCTGGGAGCGCTATAAATTACAATGCATTGTGAGGATATTACTACTGTATTGGTTTCCACCAAATCAGTGTCATATGCTAAACACATCAAGATTTTTCATAGCATCAGACTAAACCAATTGGGACTGGAACCCAAGCAGTTCATAATAAGGAGGGATCAACACTTTACTCTGTGACTGAACATGAGCAGGACACACATTTTAAGATGGGAGACTAAAGGAATGCAAACCAGTGTAATCTGCGTTGTGAGTCCTAGACATTTATGAGCTGTCAGAAAAAGGGAAAAAGAAATTCCCTTGCCAATACTACCTGTCGATCAGGCACAGGAAGAAATTAAAGTCAAGAAAAATGACAAGAAAATAACCTAACCCATGATTCTATCATTGGTCTTAGCATTTCAGGTAGAACTTAATAAAGAGAACAGCTCCCACTGCTGACAGTCTCCGGCTCTGGGTCAAAAGCCAGCCACCTCACTCCAGGAAGTCAGTTAATGCTGATGTGCATACCTGGGAACAGAAAATGGACAAATCAAATAATTCCCAGATATCCGAGATGGAGCCCCTATTTATGAGCCTAGTCTTAGAGGAAAAGGGCTAAAGGAATGAAAATGAGTGTGGCAAAACTACCTTCTCTACTCCCTGCTCCCTTTGATTCAGACATTCTCTAACATGGGGGTCATATTTAATAGTGCCACTTTCGAAGCAAGGTCAGAAGTTGCTGCCTCTGACGCCTGCTCCTGGTATAGACTCAGAAAACAAAAAACAAGTAAAAATATTGCAGTGGGCCTACCCTTACCATCACTCAGCCTAAAAGGCTCACTTCCAATCCCGCCTCCTCTATAAAGTTTGTTCCCAGTGGTTCCTTTATATCCCCTTTATGATCTTAGAGGAAGAATACTCACTCTGTCATGTGTTTGGGGATGGGGTGGGATTTACTGGTCAAACAGATTCCCATCTTCACCTGGTGTCCAGCCCCGACCTCCGATTATTCTCAAGAACAATCTTGCCTTGATCAAGTCGGTCTCCCTTAGCTTCTGCATTTGGTGCTGGACTCCTCCCTCAAGCTTCAGGCAAGGAGTGTTCACTTGTGCTTAGATCACCTCAAGTGTTCCTCAGGGCTCACTGGGAGCCCCTGTCACTTACCAAGTAGTTCACCCGTCTTCTCATCATATTCTTCGGCCATTTCCTTCCCATCTGGGAACAAATAGTGCACCTTCCTTCTTCCTACACACAAAACAGAAAGTGCCTTACCCCCAAGCCTCCTCTTAACTTGCACTTTGAAGATCAAGGGATCTACCTGGGAAATGCCAATGGCCCTGGGTGTATTAAGAAACCCTCCCAGAGCTTCCTGCAAACTCCTTGCCAGCCTTTGCCCACTATTACTTTAAGACATGTCTTGAGATTCACATCCTTTCTGAAGTTTCTGTGAATGTATCTTTGCTCCACTGTTTCCTCTACCAGCAATATAGCTCCATACTTCTTCCCATCTGTTGAACTTCTCCTTGCCCTTCAAAATCCCACTCAAATGTCACTTCCACTGGGGAGTCTTCCTACACTACCACCCTCAGCTACCTTGGCAAAATGCATCACTTCCTTGTTTGTTTGTACTCCCATTGTGCTTCAATGGAGGACTTATCACATACTATACTTTGAAAAGCATCTGTCTCCCCAGGAATGATTTCATATTTATCATTCTCCCCCCTATTCCTAAAACCAAGCCTACGCAGGATATTGAATGGGGTTTCCTAATCAATCACCCCTTCTAGCCATGCCATCATTCTGCCTTTTGCACATCTCTCAGCCGTTCCTATCACATAGCCACACAATGTTAGTCCCCATGTGTTTTCTTCAGGGCATTTACCTTAGTTATGATTTTACATCTATTTGTGTGTTCCTTTAATTACTGCCTGTGTGTTCTACTAGATAGGAGGGGTTTTATCCACCCATCCCTCAACTCTATGGTTTCCCTAACACCATGCACAGTACCTGGCATATATTAGGAGCTCAACTAAATATTGATTGAAAGAATGAACACTGATTCATCTTTCACTGAAAGAACAGAAGAATCCAAGGGAGCCTTCTAGCCCAACTCTTCCACCTATGTAGTATAATCATAAGCATTTCTTAATAGTAGTTATGTAATTTCTCTTATTTTTACAGATAAATAAGTAAACACAGATAGGCTCCTCAGTGAGACAATAACACTGGACTAATGCCCAGAAGACAGGTACCCAACATGACTAAGAGCCCTAAGGTTCACAGCCAGCTAAAGGTGCCACTAGCTGACTTGAAACTGTATCTGCTCTACCAAGCCTTTTTTTTGGTCCAGTTCACTCACCTAGGACACAGCTCCCTAGGGTTATTCCTAATTTGTATTCTGGGTAAACATCTCCAAATTTGTAGGGCTTTCCAGCAGGCCCCTACCATCACACCACCCTCAATCATTTGGATGGCTCACAGCTGGAAGGGGTTTTCCTGTCAGGAGCAGGGTATAAGGCGTTGCCTGTAGGTAGCTAAGGAGACTGGCCTGACCCTATTCTCCCCCTATAGTCCAATCTTGAGTCCAGACCACTGGCCAGGCGCTTTGCATGTTTTATTGCATTTATCACAAATAATCCTATGTGCCCCATTACCTGATTTCATAAATGGGAAAATTGAGGCTTAAAGGTCATGAAACTTGTCCAAGGTTATAAACCTAGGAAATGACAGACCTGGGCTTGAGACCAAAGCCCATGCTGTATTAACCACAGTAGGATAATTTGTGTGGCTTTAAACATTTGCAAGGTTGAAGACTGTTCCCAGGATTTATTGGATCATGTTTCTAGTGAATTACCTATTTTAGGCTTTAGCGTATTTTATTTGGGTATTCACCTTTTTCTTAATAATCTGATAGAGCTTTGTAGATATTGTTTCGATTGCCTTTTAACTTTGTTTAAAGTGCGTTTTCCCAAACAAGGGTTTAATTTTTATATAGTTGACCATTTTTTCCTTTGTGTTTATTACACAGAAGTTGTGCTTAGAATATCCTTCCTTACCCAAAGTTTATATAATATTTACCTATACTTTATTCTAATAAATATTTATTCTGCATATATATATATGTATATGTATGTGGATATTAAATTTTTTAAGTATTTTGGTAAAAAAATACATATGCATGTGTGCATATACATGGAAAAAACAAAAGTTTATGTATGAAAACATGAATTATGATTATCTCTGGCTGGTAGGATTATGAGTGACCTGTTAATTTATTTTTCATTATTTTCACAGTGAATAGAAATTCTTTCTGAAAAATACTTAGTGTATTGGGTTCTCATTGCCAATAGCAATGATTCTTGGTGGGAAAGACGAATGGGTACTCCACCTGCCCATTTCCACATCTGCAGAGTAAATCTATAGGACAGATTTGATAAGCTGTATCCCTATATTTATTATTACTATTATTATTATGTGGATTGAAGAAAAAAAAATCTAACAACATTGTTTTGTGATTCTACTAACAAAAAAACGTAACGAAATTGTCATATAAACATTGCCATGTGATCAAAAGAAGTGAAAGCAGGGATTCAAACAGGTATTCTTATATCCATGTTCAAAGAAGCATTATTCACAATGGCAAAAACAAATGGAAGCAACCCAAGTATCCATCAGCAGGTGAAAGGATAAACAAGATGTGGTACATACGTACAATGGCATATCATTCAGCCTTAAAAAGGAAGGAAATTTTGATATGTGAGACAACATGGATGAACCCTGAAGGCATCATGCACAGTGAAACAAGCCAGTCACAAGAGGGCAAATATTCTATGTATTTGTAGTAATACAAAATGTAGACAAAATGAGGTTAATATTGACAATGAGAGTAAACTAAAATGGTGGGGGGGCATTAAGGAAACAGGGTCTCTGCACTTCCTCTTCTCTGATACTGTTCTCCAAATAAAGTTAGATTATTCTGTCAAACCATAAACATCCTGGACAAACATCTGCTGCTCACAACAAAGCTGACTTTTGAAACCTAGTGATTAGCATTAGCAACCAATTATGTATAGCAAAATGTAGGCTACAGCAGCTTTAGTCAATCATAATTGTTTCAAAACAACTCATGTAAGCCCCTTGGAGTTCCTCTTTTTGCCTTTAAAAATCCTCGGCCCTCTCCCTTTTTCCGAGCATACATTTGGGTTTCTTCCCAACTCTGTCCAGATTGAATCCCTAAGACCCCATTAAAAGCAACTAATTGTTTTATAGCTTTGCCTTTTTTTGGTCAACAGTCCACTTACATGAGTTTTCTACAGTAACCAAATTCATAAACACAGAAAGTAGAATGGTGGCTGCCAGGGGTTAGGGATAGGGGGAATAGGGAGTTAAGTGTTTCATGGGTAAAGAGTTTCAGTCAAAGATGAAAATAAGTTCTGAGATGGATGGTGGTGATGGTTGCACAACAATGTGAATATGTTAATGTCACAGAACTGTACACTTAAAAATGGTTAAAATATAAATTCTGTTATGTATTTTTTACAATAAAGACAAAATACTGTCCTCTGACCTCTGAGATAATGTCTTAAATCTTTAGCTTGGTATAGGAGATCTATCACTACATCCCCAATTTATCTGCACTCTCTCTTCACTTTCCACCATTTTCCTTCACTGCTCCTTAAGAGACCTCTTATCCACGGTTGTATCCTAGCCCTTGGCATGTGACACAGTGTAGGGGGTGTTGTGACTGACTGGGTGAATGCTTTAGCCTCACAAAATGTTTTGTTAGGCTTTCACACCTCCATGCCTTTACACCTGAGTCATTCTTTCCAGAATAGTCATCCCCTCTTCTCCACTTAGCAAATACCTATTAATTCTTTAGAACCCATAAACATCATCTCTTCTGTCAGGTCTTCTTCAAAAGATGACCGATTCCACCAATATGTTCTCATAGCATTTTATAGAAGATTTCAACCTCTATTTAACACACCCTCTTATTATTTACATGTCTTTTTCCTGATCACTCTGACCTCCCGCAACATGGCTTTTTCTATCTGCTCTAATACATAGCTTGGTAAGTTATTTAACAGCAAAAGAAAAAAACAGTACAAACAAGTAAAATAGTAGAAGCCTCCCTAAATGCTGTATAAATGAAGCAAATGAGCAGGTGATTTTTAATTTCGACGCTTACCTGATTGGCCTCTGCCTGTGGACGCAAGTCCTTAGCTGGTATCCTAGAAGCTACAAGAATTCAAACCTAATTGATTCTGGCTGCCAAGTGAGTCCAGGAAGGTACCCTGAAGCACAGGGGGCCCTACACCAGCCAATCGTAAGGTGAGAGAAAGTCGGGAGTCCAATACAACCTGCCCACTTCTTTTAGGCAGCATTTTAGAGAAGGTTTACTTACAAACAAAGTATTACACCTGGAAAGGACCTCAGATATAACAGAGTTGCCTATCAAGTTCATTTTTCAGATTAGAAAACTGAGATCCAAACAAAGGGGACGACTGGAGATGCCATGGTGAATCAATAGCAGAGGCATAACTAGCGCCGTCTTTTATGACATCAGGCTGCCTCCAGCAATATAACACCTAGACTGAGGTTCATGGGATCCGAAGTCAGGATCGAATCGGGGAAGCTGGGGCTGGTCTAAAACCTCGAATTTGTTTCCTCTTCTGTAAAACGGGGTGGAAAATGAGCCTCTCAGGACAGCGGTGAGAAGCAAACGAATGTGAAAGGAATTACCATTCATTAATAACAGAACTCAGAGCGGAGCGAGGCGGTGTAAAGGAAACGAGGGGGTGTCCAGAGACGCGTGTTCCAATCACGTCGTCTCTCTGGGCCTCAGTTTTCTCATCTGTAAATGCAGGACCTGGCCTGGATGCCGGCCGTGACCCTTCCAGTTTTGCCGTCCCAGGCTGAGGCCCTTCCCGGACGCCCAGCACCGGGGGCCGTACCCTGGGGAAAAGGACGAGGGGGCTCGTGGGGGGGCTCAAATTACCGTCCTGCAGTAGTGCCGTCTTTTCGGCCGTCCGCAGACTCTCCAACCAGCCCGTCACCGCCATATTCCCTCTGCCCAACTGCGCGCCCAGCTGTTGCCATGGCAACTACCCGCCTACGGTCACTTCCCGCTAACCCGGAAGGTGTTCTGGGCATTTTCCCCTCCCTCTTCCCCCTCCCCCACTATACCCCTCCTCGCCCCACGGCCCTTCGTCCGTTCTCATTGGCTGCCCAGGTAAGTAGTTTACTCCTGCCCACCCGTGGGTGACCCTCTGGGCCTGAAGTTAAGCACACCTCCGGCCGAGTCTGGGGAGTCGGGAGAGGTCCCTTAGGGCAGGGTGCGGACTCGCCAGCCCAACTCTGGTTCCCAGCTGGGCACCCCTGGTGAACGCCAGCTGCTTGGGCGGCGGGTTCCCCACATCTGCCCCAGTGCCTTCCGCCCCCAGCTGCGAGGCCGAGACTCCCCCACTCCCGGGAGGCGCCCCGCACCTGCTGCGGCCTTGCCCCATCTAGCACAGCTGCCGCGCCGAGCATCCACAAGCCGACCGAGGCCCGCGGCCAGGGCAGGTGCGGGCGTTCCCCCCTGCCTCCCTCGACAGCACCCCACCAGTGATGGGGGTAAAGTAAGATTATGTAGGGTTTATATGCAGATTATACCCAGCCTCCACTTTTGGGATCCCAAATCGTTCCTAAAAATTTAGCTGCATTTCCTACCCTGGTATCCCTTTTGGTAAAGCCCTTTGGAAGTGGGATGCAGTAGGGCAGACACTGCACTGAGTCTTGAGAGCAGTCCTTCGGAGGAATGATACCCCTCAAAGGTTCCCCCAGTAGTCCCTTCTTTTCCTCATTTTTCCTAGTACTCTGAATTTGTAAGGTTAGTGGGTGCAGAACTAGCCTAAACCATTGAAGTTCAGTTGGGTTTTGGGAGAACCCATGGAACTGGGCTACTGCCGCCTATGCCTGGTCAGTAGAGACCCACCTTCACCGGCAAAGGGGTTGGGGAACCTCAGTTCTAGGTTTCCCCGTGATTAAACTTAAAGGCCGGGATCCACCCATACCTCAATGGAGCCTAGGGGCATCTTGAAGGCGTTTCCCAAGCGAAGGACTATTCATGCCCATCCATCATCAAAAGCAGTTGCAAAGATGCCCAAGAAGGAAAACGAAGCAGGAGGTGAGCTGACCCACCCTCAACCCTCATGTACTTGAATCCTCAGGCTTCCTATATTGTTCATGTCCAGAATCAGATATTAGAGCTCAAGCTATCTTTCCAGGGCCTGCAGGTCAGTTAGTACCTGCCTTGCACTAGGCCTGGTTCCCAGTCTTTGACAGACACTTGTTGTGTATCTTCTACTCTACCTGAGACCTCCATCAATCAGAAAATGCCCCCTGGTCTTTAAGGAAATGCTCAGCAGAATCCTTTAATCTCCAGGAGGTTGCCTGCAGTGTGTGTTGGGGGAGGTGGGGTGTACAGAAAACCCTCTCAGGTCCCTAGAGTTATGTAATTTTGCAGCCAAATTGACAAATGCTTACAGGGTAGGCTGGGGTGGGTAAAAAGGTGGAATCATTAGACTATGAAGCCTGTAATGGCAAAACGTGTGCCTTGTGCCTCGTACACAGTAGGTCTCTACTAATATTTTTGAAAGAGTAATTGATCAAACGAAGTGATGTATAAGATACCTACACTACAATGTGCTCGACATTGTTCTAGGTTACATGAGGGTACAGGACATATCAAGATCCTTGCCCCTTGCATCAGTTGGTGGTCCATGAAGAAAGTGCTGTATGCTTATGGTGGAATCCCCAGAAAGCAGACTGTCTGGTTGGAAGGAAAATGATTGTTTGGGGGCATGGGACTGGAAAGGATTCATTCAGATCATATCTGAAAGTTATGACAGTGGGCCTCTGGATGTCCCCTCCACAGAGTGGCTGAGCTCCCTGTGGGCCCATGTTGTACCCACTGGCATTGGGCGAGCCCGGGCAGAACTCTTTGAGAAGCAGATTGTCCAGCATGGTGGCCAGATATGCCCTGCCCAGGCCCCAGGGGTCACTCACATTGTGGTGGACGAAGGCATGGACTGTGAGCGAGCCCTCCGCCTCCTTAGACTGCCTCGGCTGCCTCCAGGTGCTCAGCTAGTGAAGTCAGCCTGGCTGAGCTTGTGCCTGCAGGAAAGAAGGCTGGTGGACACGGCAGGATTCAGCATTTTCATCCCTGACAGGTGAGCTGGTTCCAGTCTTTCTTCACATAATTTTTTACAGCATCCTGAGCTCTCTTCTTGGGTTATTAAAAATAACTCATTATGTAAATTGGGCACATTAGAAAACCAAGGTTTTGGAGTAAAGAAGGATTGGGAGCAGAGATAGGGTGAGACCTTTGGTATCTTAATCTGCCATCACCATCCCTGCAGGTACCTGGACCAACCACAACTCAGCAAGGCAGACCAAGACTTTTCTATTCCTTCTGGAGCCCCTGAGGCTCTGCTCAGGACAATCCTCTCTCCTTCTGCTCCTCCCACTAGACCTGTATCTCCTCCTCAGAGGGCAGAAGAGACTGTAAGCACCCACGCCCAGGTCAGGAGCCTCCCAGACCTCACAGCTCCCTTCTCCTGGGAATTAGATCATAGAAACAGGGAGGGCCTGGCCCCTAAGGGAGAAAGGCTCTCTTTATTGTGAAGCCATTTAGGTCTTCCTAACACTCAACACCTGTGCATTTGCTCAAGCCATATCTCCCACATACCACTGGGGATCCTAGGGCTGGGCATTGGGCGAAGCCAAATGGAACATGGCTCCAACACTTTAAGGAGACCCAGGTCTAATGCACAGGACCCAACCTCATTCTTGGTCTGACTAGGGGACTCAATCCCCACCTTTGAGGAGCCCTCCTCATTGGGGGCATGAACTTATTGTGTCTTCTTTCCTACTTTAAGCCCATCTCTGATGATGAAACCAGTGATGGGGAAGAAATCCAGGTTAGCCCAGATGATCTGGAAGCCCTGTTCAGTGGCCACTACCCCATCCATCTGGAGGGAGATGGTGAGCCTAGCCCAGCCCCCAAGGGCCTGGCCAAGTGGGTCTGTGCACAGCCTTCGAGCCAGAAGGCAACCAACCACAACCCCCACATCACAGAGAAGCTGGAAGTGCTGGCCAAAGCCTATGGTGTTCAGGGAGACAAGTGGAGGGCCCTGGGCTATGCTAAGGCCATCAATGCCCTCAAGAGCTTCCACAAGCCTGTCACCTCCTACCAGGTACCTGGGGCCAGGGCAGGGTATGTGGGGTGGGGGCGTGGGGGATCTCTACTGGCCAGAGGTTGGGGGAGGCACCATTTGCAGTGGGCAACAGGAGCAGTTGCACAAAAAAAAAGGGAGATTGATGAAAATACTGGCAAAACCTTGATAATTACAGAAGCTGGGTGACAGGTGCTGTTCTCTATACTTGTAACTTTTTCCATAGTACAGACTTTTTTCTTTTCTGGGAGGCCAACAGACCAGAGTTTGAATTCTGGTTCCTATCGCTCACTCACTGTGTGACTTGAGGCAAGTGATTTAAGCCCTTTGAGCATCAGTTTCATCGTCAGTAAAAAGGAAGTAGGACTAGTAACCAGTTCAGTGTTCCTGGGAGGACTGAATGAGATGGCTCCTACATCATGCCATTGTTGTGATGATGGTGACTAGTATCAGTATTGCCCTTTTTCTGCTTCCTATGCTGACCTCCATTGTTCTGGGAACCAAAAGACAAGGTCCCCAGCCCATTCTGTCCAAACTTCTTATCTTCAGCTCCGCCATGCTTCACCCAGCATCAACTGCCAACTGGACAGGCTGGCTTTTACTCAGATATCTGCTAAAGGAGTTGGCTTTCCCCACCACTGGCTCTACCCCTCCCATCTTCTCACTCTTCTTTCCTGCCTGTGCCTCTCCTCTAGGAGGCCTTCAGTATCCCTGGGATTGGAAAGCGGATGGCTGAAAAGATTGTAGAGATCTTGGAGAGTGGGCATCTGAGGAAGCTGGACCATATCAGTGAAAGCGTGCCTGTCTTGGAGCTCTTTTCCAACATCTGGGGAGCTGGAACCAAGACTGCCCAGATGTGGTACCATCAGGTCACACCCTGTCCCAGCTCCCACTTCAGTTCTGCTGTATCACAGAGCTGCTGTCCCTTAATTCTCTCACTCTGTGCTCTGATAGGACTGAACCCAGACTATAGGGAGACCACTTTTCAAGGGGACCAGGGCTCATATAGATCCCTCTCCTGGCTCCCAGAACTGCCCTGTTGCTTGATATCCTTGAGGCATTAAGTCTTTGGTGTAGACAGAGACATGAAGTATGTTTCTCTGAATGCCAGATCGGCAAGGGCCTTCCTGAGAAGACCAGGCCTCAGGGCTGAGTATCCAGATCCAGTGGTTAACAAACCTGGCCATGCCCAGAATTATCCCCAGACCAATGGAATCATGACACAATATTTCATGATTGTGGCAAGGCTGGATGGTGGGTGGAGGGAGTGTGTCTTCCATTCCCCCTTTCTTTCCCAAGTCCCAGTGATTACATACCCATCCAACCCTGGGGTTGGTTCTGCCTCAGGCCTTCTTTGGAGTCTGGGGGCAATGGAAGTCTTCTGTGTATGTGTCCATTCATTGCCTCTTCATTGGTCCTGGATCCTCATTGTTTCTCCATCTGCCTTCTTTTTCCCAGGGTTTCCGGAGCCTAGAAGACATCCGTAACCAGGCCTCCCTGACTACCCAGCAGGCCATTGGCCTGAAGCATTATGATGACTTCCTGGAACGCATGCCAAGGGAGGAGGCTACAGAGATTGAGCAGATAGTAAGCAGGTGTTCCAGGGCAGTGAGGGGAGCAAGGCACTGCTGTAAGGTTAGGGCCTGACTTGAGGCCAGGGGCACTTTTTTTTTGGTGTTATTAATATGCAATTACATGAGCAACATTGTGGTTACTAGATTTCCCCCATTATCAAGTCCCCTCCACATACTCCATTAGTCACTGTCTATCAGTGTAGTAAGATGCTATACAATCACTACTTCTCTGTGCTATATACTGCCTTGCCTGTGCCTCCCCCCACCCCCCCCGCCTGTGGCACTATATTATATATGCTAATCGTAATGCCCCTTTTTCCCCTTATCCCTTCCTCCCTTCCCACCCATCCTACCCAGTCCCTTTCCCTTTGGTAACTGTTAGTTCATTCTTGGGTTCTGTGAGTCTGCTGCTGTTTTGTTCCTTCAGTTTTTGCTTTGTTCTTATACTCCAGAGATGAGTGAAATCATCTGATACTTGTCTTTCTCCATCTGGCTTATTTCACTGAGCATAATACCTTCTAGCTCCATGCATGTTGTTGCAAATGATAGGATTTGTTTTCTTATGGCTGAATAATATTCCATTGTGTATATGTACCACATGTTCTTTATCCATTCATCTACTGATGGACACTTAGGTTGCTTCCATTTCTTGGCTATTGTAAACAGTGCTGTGATAAACATAGAGTGCATGTCTTTTTGAATCTGTGATCCTGTTTTCTTAGGGTAAATTCCTAGGAATGGAATTCCTGGATCAAATGGTATTTCTATTTTGAGTTTTTTGAGGAACCTCCATACTGCTTTCCACAATGGTTTAACTATTTTACATTCCTACCAGCAGTGTAGGAGG